ACATTTGTTATCCTGCTTTGTGGCAGGTGCGCAGTACACTCTATCAACCTTATCTTTGTGTTGGTGTGCCAGAATTCCAGCAGCGGCGTTCTTCATCTTTCCACGCTTGGCCCGTGAAAACATCCATTCCTTCTTCACTTTCTATCCTCTTCTCTTTGGTGCTACCATGATGTTCCTGTTCTGTGCTGAGGAATGGCTACTTCCTGATACACACTATTACTAGATCCTTCTCTGGGGGGTGCTCAGGCCTCTTTTGAGTGGTCCGTGATGAACACCGTTTCTCAGCGTTCCAGAGCGGTACCAATGTAACTACATTATATCTACTATTTACAATATATGAAGAGCAGATTCAAGCCAAGGAATTCCAAAGTGATAGCTCTTTACATTCACTGCCGTTCATAACCCAGGAGATCCTTTTCCAAGATTCAGGTGAGGAAAGAGTTAGTCTCCAGAGTGGCTTTCTATAGTTCAACAGGTGATTCTCTAAACTTAGGCAGGTCTGTATCATTAGTCATTATGTTAATTAACACAAGCAGGCCAGATCGTGCTAGTTTTGTATGGTTCTCCTTCTTTGGCAAGTGCTTTCCCTGTATTTTGCTTGATAGGCTCGTGTAATATCAAGTTAAGTTTACCGATATTGGGTAAATTCAGGAAAACAGTTTGTCCTGGGTTGAGTGTGACTTTCTTGTTGATCGAAGTTTCTGAGTCTTTCACCCCGGGCTCGTTAGCAACCAAGCTCGATGGTGGATGGACTAGAATGCATTTAGCCAGGGGCACCCATCCACTCCCCAACGATTGTTTACAATCATTAAGGCTTTATTCAGCCTTTCATCCCACCGGGGATGTTGGGGTTTTTAACTGCTTTTAATGAACCCGTTGGTTCTTTGCACAGTCCCGTTAGGCTGCGGCAGTCCCATTAGGCTGAGAGTCCATTTAACACCTTCACTCTCGGCCCATTGTTGGACAATGTGTGCGGTAAAGTGAGACCCATTGAATCCTTTGTGGCTTAGGTAAGATGCCAAACCTTTTTCTAAGACATTTCTAGCGCTATATTCTTTTCCATTGATTAGTTTGCCATGCTGAGACATCGTTTACTTTCCAATCCTTCATCTCCCAACATGATATCCATCCTGGATACCCTCAATGGACCACTTTTGGAGGCCAGTTCTCCACAGCATCCAATTCCTCTCTCAACTTAGTGCACCTCTGACCTACACTACATGCCAAATGACACCTTTCCAATTTGCCTCCTCCCTTCAATCAGTCCTTTTCTAATGCCAACACCATTTCTAATGTCCAATTGATGTCACAATCCCTTTGCCATTCCGGATGGTTCCTCAGAGTGAAAAACACATCTGCATATCTGACCTCATCCCTCTTTCCTTCCTACATGAGCTGTATGCAGCATACATGAGCAATGTATTACATTCCAAAGTGTCAGTCTCAGGCCACTTAACACCATTCTACAAGTGTCCTGGTTTAAGCCAGGATGAAATCAGTTCTCCTTTTATTGACTTCTTGTTTTCCTTCAGTAAGCTTTCTTTTAACTAGTCACAGAGCCTTCTGACTAAAACTGATAAGAGAGAAATGTTTTTCTAACTGCTGGGGCTTCAAGGTCGCACCTTCACTCTGCCGGCTCAAACTCTACAGGGAGATCTCTGACCCCCCGCAGGAAGCTGAGTTAGACAGACAGCAAAACTGACCAGAGATATTCCATTCCATAGAGCTACATAAGCTCAGAGGAAGGTCAGAGATCACACCAGACAACTTCCTTCCTGCTTCTTCTTCCCTTCTCCTCCATCCATGGCCGATGTTCAGGGAGGACTCCGTCCATCCCTCACCTTGGCTGCACTTCAGAAGTCATGCTTAGTCCACCCTGTAGCCATTAGGGACCTGGGTGTGGGAACAAGCAGACAAGGACAGGATGGACCCCTTAAGGTCCACGGCCCAAGGCCCAGCTGAGCACTGCTCACCTAACACTCCTCTGCACAGCTCCTGCCAAGAAAGTTTACACAAAGCAAATCCAGGTTCTGTTTTCCCATCTCTAAAACAACCCCAAATGGTAGCGAGCCTCATGTTACCTTTCTGAGCGTGACCAAATTTTCCAGCCACCACAGCTGGACATTGAAGATCAGAGAACAATTCTTGGGTCTCAGTCTCCCCAAAACACCATCCTAGTTGACAATGGTGTTTTTCACCTCAAAAAGACCTAATCCCACCTTGTTGCCACCTTTTCCGTGCAAAGCCCATCACTGACTCATCCTGAAACGGTGTATGGGTTATTTGTATTTTTCCTCCCTTCAAAAAACACCGTAGGTCCCTCACAACATCCGCTTTGTCCATTGACGACAGTGTCACCATGATAAAGACTCTATTTTCATCCCATTTTGGAAATATGGTGATCTTAACCATGCCCCTTCATTCTTGGTGATCTCTTAGGTGGCTCTGGCCATGACAGATGAGATCCCATCTCTGGTAAAACCCCTTCTCACACTGGGAGCAGCTGAAGGGTCATTCATCCGTATGGACCCGTTGATGTTTCCACAAGCTGGAATGGTCACAGAAGCTCTTCTGGCACTGGGGACACGTGTAGGGTCTCTCTCCTGTGTGGATGCGTTGATGCTTGATGAGCCAAGTGTTCAAGACAAAGCTCTTCCCACAGTCAGGACATGCATAGGGATGTTCACCCGTGTGGACCCGGAGGTGACGGTTGAGGCTGGAACTGCTTGTAAACTTCTTCCTGCATTTGGGACACACGTAGGGTTTTTCCCCAGTGTGGACATGTTGGTGACACATCCAGGCACTGCTGCTACGGAAGCTCTTCCCACACTCCAAACACATATAGGGTCTCTCCCCTGTGTGGGTCTGGTGGTGTTTATTTAATGAGGACTTGACAGCAAAGCACTTCCCACACTCTAGACATGTGTAGGGTCGGTCACCCGTGTGGAGCTGCTGATGTTGCCGCAAGTTGGAGCTGCAACTGAAGCTCTTCTGGCACTGGGGACATGTGTAGGGTTTCTCTCCCGTGTGGATGCGTTGATGGCTGATAAGCAAGTAGTTCCAGACAAAGCTCTTCCCGCAGTCAGGACA